CCCCACCTCAACTATCACCTCACCTCGTCCCCCTCCTCACCCATCCCCTCACCTCGACTCCCTCGTCACCCATCCCCTCCCCTCATCTCTCCTCACCCATCACCTCACCTTGTTCCCCTCCACACCCATCACCTCGTCTCTCCTCCCCCATCGCCTCACCTCGTCTCTCACCCATCCCAACACCTCGCCCCCCTCCTCACCCATCACCTCACCTCGTATCACTGCTCACTCATCACCTCACCTCGTCTCTCCTCACCCATCACCACACCTCGTTTCTCACAAATCACCTCACCACGTCCCAATCCTCACCTATCACCTCATCTGCCTCCTCACCCATTACCTCATTTCGTCTCTCCTCACCTATCACCGAACCTCGTCTGCCTTCTTACCCATTACCTTACTTCGTTTCTCCTCATCCATCACCTCACCTCGTTGCACTCCTCACGCATCACACACCTCATCCCCCACCTCAAAAATCACCTCACCTCGTCTCTCCTCAGCCATCACCTCATCTCATCTCCCTCCCATCACCACACCTCGTCTCTCCTCACCCATCACCTCATCTCGTCTCCCTCCCATCTCCTCACCTCGTCTGCCTCCTCACCCATAACCACACCTCGTCTCTCCTCACCCATCACTGCACCTCGTCTCTCCTCATCCATCACCTCACCTCGTCCCCCGCCTCACCCATCTCCTCACCTCGTCTGCCTCCTCACTCATCACCTAACCTCGTCTCTCCTCACCCATCACCTATCCTCGTCTCTCACATATCACCTCACCTCATCCCCCTCCTCACTATCACCTCACCTCATCTGCCTCCTCACCCATCACCTCATCTCGTCTCTACTCATCCATCACCTCACCTCGTCTGCCTTCTCACCCATCACCTCACCTCGTCATCCTCACTCATCTCCTCACCCATTACCTGGTCTCTCCTCACCCACAACCTCATCTCGTGATTCAAGAGCCGAATGGCTCACAGGGCTATACCTAATAAATGAACTTGAACTTGTCTCTCCTCACCCATCACCTCACCTCGTCTGCCTTCTCATCCATCACCTCACCTCGTCATCCTCACCCATCTCCTCACCCATTACCTGGTCTCTCCTCACCCACCACCTCATCTCGTCTCTCATCACCCATCATCTCGTCTCTCCTCACCCATATCCTAACTTCATCTCGGCTCTGGCTCCTGCCACCATGAGGGGTGGACAGTCCTCTACTCAGGGCAGGAGACTGCCAAACAACAGGGTGTGGCTCTTCTTCTGAACAAAAGAATGAAGGTGGCGTGGGAGCGTGGCAGTGAGGTGTGGGAAACTGTAAGCCCCAGGTTACTTTGGGCTCGCCTTCCCATCAACCGAAGGCGACGAGTGGTGGTCGTGGTTACTTATGCCCCCACCGAAGACGAACATCCGTGGAGGGATGCAGGCAAAGCCGATGAGTCGGATGCCTTCTATGATCTGTCACAGGTGCTGGCTAAAGTGGCCCCTCGGGATAGAGTCATCTTGTTGGGTGACTTCAATGCCCGAGTTGGCCATGATGCGGGCAACTGGTCTGGAGTGATTGGAAGGCATGGGCCAGAACAGCTCAATAATAACGGTAGGAGGCTGCTATATTTTTTTCAGCCCATGAGCTTGTAATTACCAACATGCTGTTCCGGCATCGGCGCATCCACACAACATCATGGATGCATGATGGGTCTAAGCAAGAACATCTGCTGGACTACATAGTGATGGAACAATGGATGCGGGCCCATGTCCTTGACACCAGGACCTACCGTGGAGCTGATCTGCCCACTGACCATCGACTTGTCATTTGTAAGATGCGCCTGCCATTCTTCCACTCTGGTGGTTGGTGTACACCCAGGACCCCCATTTAAACCCATAGTGGCATGGTCTCAGCTAGCTGATGAAAGTTGCAAACGAGAATTTCATCATCACTTGCAGCTGGGGTTGTCATTGTCCCCCACTCCTCCAGATGTCGAGGGGAAATGAGCGAGATTTAGGACTGTGGCTCATGCAGCTGCAATGGCTGTTTTGGGTACATGGTCCAGACCTCCCCAGACACCCTAGCTGACAAAGGAGGTGTTCAAGCTGGCTGAGAAAAAGTGCCAGGCCCACTCTCATCGGCTACAGCATCCCACGTCGGAGAATGAAGCTTACCGCAGCCTTTCCTCGGAGGTTCGGAGAGCCGTGAGGTCCTGCAGGGTTGGGGGGTGGTCGCAGGTTGCTGAGGAGATGAAGTCTCCCTCAATGGCCCGCGATCACAAATCGCTCTTTAACGCCATCAAAAAAGTAACCTGCAGCACCATAACTATTACCATCATTAGGAGAAAGAATGGTGATCCAATCTCCGACCCCCAGGAACAGATTCGCAGATTTGCTAAGCATTGGCATGAGGTCCTGGGGCAGTGGAAATCTCTCAGCCTGGAAAACAACGTGGGACAAAGTGTGGATGACCCTGCTGACGCTGTGGTGCCTCATATATTGGAAAAAAAAGTCACTCTCTGTGATTGGCTGGCTGAGGTGCCATCAGTTAAGGAAGTATTGAAGACGATCCGTAGTCTGAGACCAGGAAAGGCACCAGGCAGAGATGATCCCCCAAGCGAAATGCTGAGGGAGGGTGACGTTTGTGCACAGACTGCCCTACGTAACATGATAACAACCGTCTGGACCACTGGACGGGTTCCGCAGGATTGGAAGAATTGCCTGGTGGTCCTCTTCTTTAAGAAGGGGGATTGCACAGACTGTAACAACTACAGGGGCAGCTCACTCCTAAGTGTGCCAGGAAAGTTCCTGGAAAGGATTATTCAGCTAGGTACGCTGAGGAGAGACTTGCGGAGCCCCAATGCGGTTTCAGGAAAGGGCGGTCCTGCACAGATGCCATATTTTCTGTCCGTCTGCTACAACAAGACCTATATCTCTGCATTATTGACCTGGTCAAGGCCTATGATACCATCAATAGGCCTGGGCTCTGGGTTGTTCTTCGTGCTTTCGGAGTCCCTGACCCTCTGCTCACGATCATTAAGGACCTTCATGACGGTAAGCAGGCCCGGGTAAAACTACGTGGCCGGGAGTCGGAGCCATTTTCTGTACACCTTGGGGTGCGACAGGGATGTCCTCTGGCTCCCACATTATTTAACATCCATTTCACGTAGTTCACTAAGTCTTCAATAGCTGTACCAGAGGAATTTCCATCTGGTACAGATGGAATGGGAGGCTGATCGATGCCCGGGTATGGTCAAGGGATGGCTCCCTATTGCTCAACCATGTTATGTATGCCGATGATCTGGTAATTGCTGCTAACTCCACTAAGAGGTGGGGCCTTACCATTAGTCCAACCAAAACTAAGCACCTGCCTGGGTATTTTGTACCATCGGACACTCCACCCCCAATTGGTGTTTGGGCAGTTGTGGAGAGAGTGGAGAATTCATCGGTTGCGTAATGTTGCGTGGAAGCTACCTGTTCTGTCGCTCCGCACGAAGCTTCAGGTTTTCAAGGCCAAAGTCATGTCCTCCCTTCTCTACGCTTGCAACACGTGGACCCCCCCTAATGGAACATCTTCGCCGGGTAGAAACATTTAGGCTGGCTTGCCTACGATCCATCCTGTGTTTAACCAGGCTGGATTGTGAGGAGCTCACAAATCCTTGAAAGATCTGGACAAAGTCTCATTAGTGAGCTCCTCCGGCTGGCAAGGCTGCATTGGATAGGTCATGTAGCCCACATGCCCAGCCACCACATGCCTAAACAGCTTTTGGTTGGCCGGATCGAGGGGGCTAAACGGGCGCGGCACAGGATAGAGAAGAGATGGAGTGATATGATATAGGAGGATGTGGAGCTGAGTGGACTTGCCGATGACTGGTACCAGCGGTGTCAAGATCGGCCTCTGTGGAGAAGGCTCGTGAAGCACGCTACTGGGCAGTTGGAGGCAGTCGTCCTCCAACAACAACGGAGGGCAGAGGGGCGACGCTCACAACAAGGAGCGGAGCATCGGGTGTCTAAAGCATAGCAAGTTGGCACAGTAGGGGCACAGGTGGTGCATCAGCCGCTCATCTCAGTCAGTCCACCCGTGGCACATGGGTCTGTCCTGTAACCTCGGTTGTGATTGTTGTTGTCAATGAGTGAGTAGGAGGGTGAGTTGGAAGATGAGTGGGTGGGTGAATGAGTGAGTGGGAGGGTGAGTGGATGAACGAGTGAACGAGAGAGTGGGAAGGTGAGTGGGATGGTGAGTGGGAGGGTGAACGAGTGAGTGGGTGAAGGAACGAATGGATGGAAGGGTGAGTGTGTGGGAGGGTGAGTGAGTGGGTGAACGAGTAAGTGGGAGGGTGAATGGGTGGGTGATCGAGTGAGTAGGAGGGTGAGTGGTTGGATGAACGAGTGAGTGGGAGGGTGAGTGGGTGGGAGGATGATTGGGAGGGTGAGTGGGTGGGTGAATGAGCGAGTTGTAAGGTGAGTGGGAGCGTAAGTGGGAGGGTGAACGAGTGAGTGGGAGGGTGAGTGGGAGGTGAACGTGTGAGTGGGTGGATGAACTAGTAAGTGGGTGGGTGAACGAGTGAGTGGGACGGTGTGGGCGTGTGAACGAGTGATTTGGAGGATGAGTGGGTTGGTGAATGAGCGAGTTGTAAGGTGAGTGGGAGCGTGAGTGGGAGGGTGAACGAGTGGGAGGGTGAGTGGGAGGGTGAGTGGGAGGTGAACGTGTGAGTGGGAGGGTGAGTGGGTGGATGAACGAGTGAATGGGAGGGTGAGTGGGTAGGAGGATGATTGGGAGGGTGAGTGGGTGGGTGGGTGAATGAGCGAGTTGTAAGCGGAGTGGGAGCGTGAGTGGGAGAGTGAACGAGTGAGTGGGAGGTGAACGTGTGAGTGGGTGGGTGAACGAGTGAGTGGGAGGGTGAGTGGGTGGGAGGATGAGTGGGTGGGTGAACGAGTTAGTGGGTGGGTGAGTGGGTGGGTGACCGAGAAAGTGGTTGGGTGAACGAGTGAGTGGGAGGGTGAGTGAGAGGGTGTGGGAGGTTGAACGAGTGAGTGGGAGGGCCGTTGGTGAGGAATAAAGGATCTTTGGTACTCGCTGCCTAGAAGCTCTCTCGGCGAAGTCAAGTTTCCTCTACTCTGGTGAGTACTCACGCACATACACACGTACACAACAGGACAAAGACAAAGATCCCCTATATAGCTTTAACAAAGTTAGCGACCATTTATGGAGGTCAGCGGGGTACACGAGGAGATGGGTGGCCAGCACCACCCCCTACCTCATTTGTCTTTCTAGTGGCGATGTTTACACACCGCACCAGATACTCATTTTAGGTTGAGTCCACCTAGGGGAGGCCCATAACCGGTTCAGATAATCGTCACTGGTGTTGGTCGTGAGCGGGAATCGCCCTCGTGTCGGCAGGTTCATAGCGCAGGGTGCTCACCGCTTCACGATCACTCCACACACACTTACCCACACAAGTGCCTACAGTCAATCATAATGACACAGCACCCACACACACTCGTGAACACACGAAGTCATGTAGCCTCAAATAGACAAAAAAGTGCTGTTATCGAGTTGTGCCTGTAAAGTCCAGCAGGGCAGGCACCCCACCCCCGCCCGGCCACCTTTACCACCGCCAGTCGCGATATTTATCACATACAGGTAGGTACTTGTTTCAGGCCAAGTAGATGACCGCTGCAAAGTATGATCTTGAGTTTTGATTATAGTGTGCTGATCTTTAAAGGTGCATTGAAAATTTTTGATACTCATACTCCTGCTGTTATGGAGCGACTCATGCTGCCAGCTATGGCTGCAAAGTTTGGTCGTACATGTTATGTATATCGATTATAATTATTGTTCAATTTGAATCACACTTCCTATGATCACTGTTACATTGTTTTATAGCCTTATTTTGGTGATTTCGAAAACGTTGTGGTCTAGCAATATTTGTTTGTTGTAGTACAGAGTTAGACTGATAACTTTAATCTAAATTGTCTTATTCATAATCAACGTTTTTGGGTTTAGATCGCGTTATTTATAAATGTGTCGTAACCCTCCACCACCCGACACGGCCAATCAGTAAAAAAAGTGTCACGTTGACAAAAGACAAATAGTTCACTGCTTTAGCCCACCGGTGTGTTGAAGCGTGAAACCACAACATTTACAATTTGAGTACGACGTTTCGCTGGTAATTGCATCCAGCATCATCGGGCAATTCGCCAGAATGGTGAGGCTCTGCTGTGTCTCCCGTTCTTATATAGAGCAGCAGGGTGACGTCATCATTAACTCATTAACTCAAATCTTTGCACCTGATGAGTTAATGAGTTAATGATGACGTCACCCTGCTGTTGCTCTATATAAGAACGGGAGACACAGCAGAGCCTCACCATTCTGGCGAATTGCCCGATGATGCTGGATGCAATTACCAGCGAAACGTCGTACTCAAATTGTAAATGTTGTGGTTTCACGCTTCAACACACCGGTGGGCTAAAGCAGTGAACTATTTGTCTTTTGTTAACGTGACACTTTTTTACTGATTGGCCGTGTCGGGTGGTGGAGGGTTACGACACATTTATAAATAACGCGATCTAAACCCAAAAACGTTGATTATGAATAATATTGGTCGCGAAAGCCTACGTGTTAAACTTAATTGTCTTATGGTTGTTATTGTTTGACTTGCATCTCAATGGGATTTTTGCACACAGCGTTGATATACGGTGTTTTTTCTGGAAGACTTTGCTGTTTTTTTCCTGGTTTTTCTGTTGCACGTAGTCACTTTAAGATGTTTCTTGTTCATGTTTTTTTGTTGCGGTTGCACCCGTTTCAAGAGCCGCATGGCTCACAGGGCTATACCTAATAAATGAACTGAACTGGGATCTATGGGGAGGGTTCAGGACCGGTGTTCGTGATGATGGCTGTGAGCACCACCGCTCCCTATCTGACACTATAAACCCTCTACCCTCGCAACCCCTACTCCATCCCCCCTCCCCCCTCTCGATCCCCCCAGCACCTCAGGAGTGGAGATGAGCTCCACAGAGCCAAAACTGAGCAAGACTCAGGCAGCGGCGCTTGAGAAGGTAGTATCATCATTATCAGCACCACCACCACCATCATCAGCACCATCATCATCACCATCGTCACCATCGTAATCATTAAGCACTATTGTCATCACCACCACCATCAGCACCACCACCATCAGCAGCACCACCATCATCAAGCAGCCAATTTGAGGGCCGCACCTTTACCTCTGTAACTGAGATATAGCCACGTGGACTTCTGCCTGCCGCCGTGCGGTTTATACCAATGAGGCTGCCTGCACATGGCCCCACGGGGGGGGGGGGGGTGGAGGGCGACTGCTGCAGCCATCGCCATCAGACAAAGCTCCCGCAGGTAGCCCACACAGGGTTGTAGGTCCAAGTGCTGTCAGTAGCAGCAACAGCAGCTCATATGAAGGCCGAGGGGGTGGTGTGGTTGGAACCCCGCACCCCTGCCCGGCCGCCTTTGTCTCCCCATTGCTGACGTTTAATATACATCACACTAGGTACTTATTTGAGGCTGAGTGGACCTAGGGAAGGGAGGCCCAAGGGGACCGGTTGTTCAGATATTCGCTGCTGTCACTATGAGTGGGAATCAAACTCGTGTTCTCTGCCGGGTTAGTAGTGCAGCACAGTGACTGGTACAGACGCACACAAAGACAAAGATCCCCCGTATAGCCTTAACAGACTGTAGGGGCAAGTGCTATTAGCGAGCACCTATGAAAGCCGGCACGGCACACGAGGGGGTGGGTGGCCAACAACACGCCCGGGCGCCTTTGTCTCCCCAGTGGCGATGTTTACACACAGCACCAGGTACTCATTTGAGGCTGAGTCGACCTAGGGGAAACCCAGGACCGGTTCAGTTAATTGTCACTGATTTTGCCCGTGAGTGGGAATCGAACCCGGTGTAACAGGCTAAAATAACCCCTGCCCCGATTAAACCCGGGTATAGTTTGGCCCAGGCCAGAGTATACCCGGGGGGATAAAGTGTCCTAGGCTAAACTATACCCGGGGGTTTAAACTAGACTTCTTAAACGAGCTTTCCGAATTCCTTTATGTGATTTCTAACCCATCTCACAGGCTCGTGCTTACAGGTGACTTTAATTGCCCCGGCAATACCCCAGCCTCCATCGATAGTCACCTTGAGTCAACTTTGGCCTGCCATAACCTGCTCATCACAAACTCAGGCTCAACCAGAGCTTCCTCAACAAATGTTGAGAGCATGCTCGACCTGGTTCTGGAACCTGACCAGCATCGACGCATCACTGCACTGGGAGTTTTCCAAACAGGGTATTTAGTTTTCTGCTTTATGCCACCTCCTTACAAATTCGCCTTCAATGTTATCCCCATCATCGGATCCAACCGTCTGCGCTCTCCAACTAGAAGCTGACATGAGGGCAGCGCTGGACTAACTGGCTCCATTAAAATTACGAACCGCTAGGCAGTCTTCCCACGACACTCACTTGCTCTCAAGAGACGCCATCATTGCTAAGCGAACCAGGAGGTGCCTTAAAAGTATCGCATCCCGTAGTGGTCTACCTGCTGATCGACTTGCCTACAGAGTTGCCTGCAGGAAAACGAATAAACTTATCCTTGTCTCACGTTCCTCCTACATTGAGGAATGCATCAAAAAAGTAACCGGAAAACCGCACATTCTATGGAAAACCCTCAAAGATCTTCTACATCCTGGTAGCACCATGGTCCCTCACCTTAACGATCCCCTTGCCTCACTGAAACTTGCCACCTCTTTTAACACTTACTACACCAATAGGCTAATCATCGTCGCAAACTCGTGCACGTCTACTCGCACATCACACCATTGTACCCCGCTCAAGTTACCTGAAATTGTAAGCACTCACCCAGACACCCTTCTAACTACGCTAAAGCCGGTGTCTACAAAATACATTTTCTCTTTAATTGAATCACTTCAATTGAAGTCATCTCCACTCGACGTGCTCCCAGGTTCCTTGTTCAAGCAATGTGCTCCGGAACTCGCGATCGTGATCAGGAACATCGCAAATGCCTCATTCTCTACGGGGTGTTTTCCGTCCAACCTCAAATCTGGCCTGGTTTCTCCCTTGTTAAAAAAACAAGTCTCGACCCGGATGACCCATCTAGTTATCGTCCCATCACTAATCTCTCGAACCTCTCTAAACTCCTTGAACGACGAGCCCTCGCCCAGCTAAAACTACACATCACCTCCGCAAACTACTGCTGCTTCCAGTCAGCTTACCGTCAAAACTACTCCACAGAAACAGCACTCACTAGAGTGCTCGATGACATTTTAACGATCATTTATTCCGGCTCAACTATTGCACTTGTAAGTCTGGACATTTCGTCAGCCTTCGACACCATCAACCACTCGCTCCTTACTTCCTTCCAGAAATCCGACTTCGGTATATGTGGCTCAGCAATCAAGTGGATAGTTTCGTACCTTTCTGACCGGCAATCTTCAGTCAGGGTGGGCACGTCCACATCGCCTGAAACAAGAGCATTATGCGGGGTTCCCCAGGGCTCTGTACTAGGTCCCCTGCCCTTCACAGCCTACACTTCCCCGATCGGCCGGCTCATCGCAAGCTTTGGTGTTAACCACCACTCATACGCGGATCACACTATTCTAGTCACCGCCATTGATGATAGCAATGCATCTGGATTCGAGAGGCTCTCGGAATGTACCACCGCCTTGCAACAGTGGCTCACTGCACACAACCTAGCCCTCAATCCGAAAAAGTCAGTGGCCATTATGTTAGGTACCAAACAACGTCTCAACTCATCAGCACTCCCAACACACATACACATCTTCAGTCACAGCATCAGGTTCACCGATCACTTCAGCTACCTCTGTGTCATCCTAGATTCAACTTTATCCTTCGACCGTCAAACCAACCATATCATCAGTTAATGTAACTTTCACATGAAGGCTCTCCGACACCTACATCCTCTCATCTCCACTGAAATTGCATAGTTGGGTCTCGCCTTGACTATTGCAACTTCGTCCTAGTCCGGACCTCCACTGGCAACCTAAAAAAACTTCAAAGACTACAAAACAACCTAGCACGCGTGGTCATTGGCCACACTCATCCCCGTCTCGACTCACTAGCCTGTCTCCGTGCCCTCAACTGGCTACCCATCGCCAGTAGGGTTATATACAAGATCGCCTGCCTCTGCCACAATGCCTTCACACCTGCCTGCCTGCCGTACCTTTCTTCATTATTGACAACTTGCAGCTCAGCACACGGCAGATGCCTACGGAGCGCGACTCACGACCTCCTCTTGATACCAAGATCCAGGATGGTCATGTCTATGCGCCGCTTCTCGGTGGCAGCCCCAACAGTCTGGAACGCTATCCCTCTGCACATTCGCAGCATCACCTCAATCGCATCCTTCAAGAGAGACTTAAAAACTTGCCTCTATAACCATGCTTTCGAACGACTCTGAGCTTGGCTCCGCGCCCCTGAGTTGTGGCCGTTACGTCCGCAAACTTGCGCGCATTATAAATTGTAATATTATTATACCCCTCCAGGCCAGAATATGCCCTATGTGAAAATTCAAAGGCAATTATCCATACAGAGAATGGACGACAACGAACTTCAATCGATATCTAAAAAGCATATAAATGGAAGTAAGAATCTCAATTTGATCAATTGAAGCATTTTTAGAAGCAGTCGAAGCCAGTGAAGTCGAATACGCGTGCAATTCCATTGAAGTGTTGTTGGAAGTCACAAAATAGGCTTAGGGTTAGGAACTAAGAACTACAGGACTACTTGGACCAAGATGTCAATGAATATGTAAACACCTCTGGCATCTCTCGTGATAGAGTCTGGGCAATAGATGCCGAGATCAGGGCCACAGCGAATTCATGTGTATATCGCCCAACACGATTACTATCATGAGGGTATGATTTGGCCTAGAGGGGTATAATTTGGCCTAGGCTATAATATACCCCAGAGTATAAATTGGCCTAGGCCATAATATACCCGGGTATAATCTAGCCTAGGCCGTTTTAACCCCGGGTATACTACGGCCTGTGGGTATATTACGGCCTGTTACACCGGGTCGCCAGGTTTGTAGCGCAGCGCGCTAATCACTACACTACCGCTCCCCACACACACACAATAACCGCCAATTCGCCACTAAGTGGCGGTGACGTCACAATGACGCTTGTGCCAGGCTATGTGCACCTTGAGGCCACGTGCAGTGTCGAATGCCCGCTGGCAGGAGGTCACGGGGCAGACCCAGGTGCCACGGGTCGACTGACTGAGATGACTGGCTAAGGCACCACCTGTGCCCCCTACTGTACCAACTTGCTGTGCTTTAGCCACCCGGCGCTCTGCTCGTTGTTGTGAGCATCGCTCCTCCGCCCTCCGTTATTGTTAGAGGGCGACTGCCTCCAGTAGAAGCGTCCTTCACGAGCCTCCTCCACAGAGGCCGATTTGACACCGCTGGTACCAGTCATCGGCAAGTCCACTCAGCTCCACATGCTCCTGTACCACATTACTCCATCTCTTCTCTAGCCCGTGCCGCGCCCGTTTAGCGCCCTCAATCTGGTCGAACAAAAGCTGTTCGGGCATGCGGTGATTGGGAATGTGGTGATTGGGCATGCAGGCTACATGGACCAGCCAACGCAGCCTTGCCTGCTGGAGGAGCTCACCGATGGGACTTTGTCCAGATCTTTCGAAGATTTGTGAGCTCCTCACAAAATCCAGCCTAGTAAAACCCAGGATTGATCGTACGTAGGCCAGCCTAAATGTTTATAACCAGCGAAGAGGTTCCATTAGGGGGGTCCACGTTTCGCAAGCATAGAGAAGGGAGGGAATGACTGTGGCCAAGAAGACGTGAAGCTTTGTGCGGAGCGAAAGACCATGTAGCTTCCACACAGCATTACGCAACCGATGAAAAGATATCACCGCTCGACTATTTCGGAGTGAGACCTCTGCTGTTAAACCGGAGCCGGTCATGAGCAAACTACCCAGGTATGGGAAACTCTCCAATCTCTCCACAACTGCCCCATCACTGATTGAGAGTTGTGGGGGTGGAGTGCCCGATGATACAAAATACCCAGGCAGGTGCTTCGTTTTGGTGGGGCTGATGGTAAGGCCCCACCTCTTAGTGGCACACGCCAGTTTCAGCAGCAGTGCCTCCAACTCCTCCTCTGAGTGAACCACATTTACCAGGTCATCAGCATACATAACGTGGTTGACCAATAGCCATCCCTTGACTGCACCCGGGCATCGATCAGCCTCCCATTGTATCTGTACTAGATGGATATTCCTCTGGTACAGCTACTGAAGGCTTCACCGAACTATGTGGTCGAAATAGATGTTAAATAATGTTGGAGCTAGAGGACATCCCTGTCGCACCCCAAGGTGAACAGGGAATGGCTCCGACTCCTGGCCATGTAGTTTTACCCGGGCCGGCTCACTATCATGAAGATCCTTAATGATTGTGATCAGCGGGTCAGGGACTCCGAAAGCACGAAGAACAACCCAGAGCCCAGGCTTACTGATGGTATTTCGGCCTTGACCAGGTCAATAAAGCAGAGATGTAGGTTGTTGGAATTCCCTACACCTCTGTTATAGCAAACGGACAGAAAATATGGCATCTGTGCAGGACCGCCCTTCCCTGAAACCACATTGGGGCCCCGCAAGCCTCTCCTCAGTGTGCCTGGCAAGGCGGTGTTGAATAATCCTTTCCAAGACCTTTCCTGGCACACTGAGGAGTGAGATGCTCCTGTAGTTGTTACAGTCTGTGCGGTCTCCCTTCTTGAAGATGGGGACCACCAGGGTATCCTTCCAGTCCTGCGGAACCTGTCCAGTGGTCCAGACTGTTGTTATGATGTCATGTAGGGCAGTCTGTGCACAAACGTCACCCTCACTCAGCATTTCGCTTGGGAGATGCTCTCTGCCCGGTGCCTTTCCTGGTCTCAGACTCTGGATCGCCTTCAGTACTTCCTCAACAGATAGCACTCACAGGGGGTGAGTTCCTCTTCCAATATTTGAGGCACCGCAGCCTCAGCAGGGTAATCCCCACTTTGTCCCACGAAGTTTTCTATGTGGAGGGATTTCCCCTCCCCCAGGACTTCACAGAAATGCTCAGCACATTTGGAAACCTATTCCTGGGGGTCAAAGATTGGATCACCGTTTTTTCCCCTAATGACGGTAATAGGTGTGGTGCTGCAGGTTACTTTTTTTATGGAATTAAATTAGGGATTTGTGATCGCGAGCCATTGAGGCAGATTCCATCTCCTCAGCAACCTGCGACCACCACCCATCCTTGCAGCGCCTCACGGCTCTCCGAACCTCCGAGCGAAGGCTGCGGTAAGCCTCCTTATTCTCCGACGTGGGATGTTGTAGCCGATGAAAGTGGGCCTGTCGCTTTTTCTCAGCCAGCTTGAACACCTCCTCTGTCAGTCAGGGTCTCTGGGGAGGTCTGGACTGCGTACCCAAAGCAGCCATTGCAGCTGCCTGAGTCACAGTCCTAAACCTCACCCATTTACCCTCGACATCTGGAGGAGTGGCGGACGATGCCAACCCCAGCCGTAAGTGATGATGAAATTCTCGTTTGAAATTTTCATCATCAAGCTGAGACTAGGCCATCTTAGGTTTGAATGGGGTCCTGAGTGTACATCCACCACCGGAGTGGAAGAATGGCAGGCACTTCTTACAGATGACTAGTCGCTGGTCAGAGAGTAGATCAGCTCCACGGTAGGTCCTGGTCTCAAGGGCATGGGCCCGTATCCGCTTGTCAGTTACTACGTAGTCCAGCAGATGTTCTTACTTGGATCCGGAATGCATCCATGATGTTGTATGGATGCGCCAAGGCCAGAACAGCGTGTTGGTAATTACAAGCCCATGGGCTGCACAAAAATCTAGCAGCCTCCTACCGTTGTTATTGAGCTGATCTGGCCCATGCCTTCCAATCACTCCAAACCAGGTGCCAGCATCATGACCAACTCGGGCATTAAAGTCACCCAACAAGATGACTCTATCCCGAGGGGCCACTTTAGCTAGCACCTGTGACAGGAGGTCATAGAAGGCATCTGACTCATCAGCTTTGCCTGCATCCCTCTACGGATGTTCGTCTTCAGTGGGGGCATAAGTAACCACGACCACCACTCCTCGCCTTCAGTTGATGGGAAGGCGAGTCCAAAGTAGCCTGGGGCTTACAGTTTCCCACACTTCACCACCACGTTCCCACGCCCCCGTCATTATTTTGTTCAGAAGAAGAGCCACTCCTTGTTGTTTGGCAGTCTCCCGCCCGGAGTATAGGACTGTCCACCCCTCATGGTGGCAGGAGCCACAGCCGATCCACCGGACCTCCTGAATACCACAGAGATCCAGGCAGTACCGGTCCAGCTCCCGAGCATTCGAACATTCCACGTGACCATCCGTAGTGTATTTTTGTTGTTTCTGCAGGAGCCCCGAGGGTAAAGATTCAATCGCCTGGCTCCGCCAAATGGGGGTTGGCCAGGAGACGTCATAGACGCTTGTCCCCCCGGGGCCTCCGGCACAAGCTTGTTAATTAAAAATTTCGGTCGTAGTTTAGTGCTAATTAATTGAAGGTGGAGGGGTTACCAGTCCATCGCAACGGTCCAGAGCTCCCATTTAGCTGCTGTGGTGGTCACAGACGCCATGAGGGAAATGCCCTCCCCCCCCCACAGCACTGCCCACGACAGCGTTGCCCGTCCGGCACCACGAGGAGGTAGGGGGTTGTTTTTACCGGACACACACACAGACACACACAGACAAATATCTCCCGTAGAGCCGCAACAGTCAATCATAAACACACACAGTCATAAACAAAGACAAAGGTCTCTCGTCTAGCCGCTAATAGACTGTAGGGGCAAGTGTTGTTCGCGAGTAGTGTATATGAAGCCCGGCATGGCACACGGAGGGGTGAGTGGCCAGTACTACGCAAGGCCGCCTTTGTTTTCCCGCAATAGTGGGGAGGGGAGGCGATGCTGCTGCTGTAAGATCGCAGTTGGGAGATGTTCACTCTCATTCACCTACTCGCTTACCTACTCACTCGCCTACTCACCTTCTTGCCTTCTCACCTATACACTCATTCACCGACCCACCCATTCACACACACATTCACTCACCCTTCCATCCACCCACCCACTCACCCTCCCGCCACTCACCCTCCCACTCACCCACGTAGTCAGCCACCCACGAACTCGCTGGGGACGTCTCGTGCCAGGCTAGGTGGCCGTGACCTCGTCTCTCCGTGTCTCTCATTACACCAACAGCACCTCACCACATTCACCAGCCATACTGAACCGCGGCCCAAACGGGAGTGGGGAGCACAGACACTTATACAGAATATCCGACGTTTCGGGCAACGACCCTTTCGTTAAACATCATCATTATCACCATTGGAACCTCATTTGCCAGTAAAAAATATGATAATTGTTTTTTTACCCTTCTATCTGGCAACAAAACTGACACCTTTTTTACAAGGAGTCATGTTTGCATAGACCACAATACCTGCAGTCATAATGCAAACAAAAAACATAACTCTGATAATGTATGCACTGTCCTTGAAGTTGATTGGTCCACACCCGAGACAGCTTTCCTTAGAGCCTAGTCTCACATGGGTTGGACCAGATGACGCCAAAAGGCGCACAACTCAAAGACAATGCACCATCAGAGTATGAGAGCTCGGAGTAAGCATTTACACCATTGGAACCTCATTTGCCAGTAAAAAATATGATAATTGTTTTTTTACACCATTGGAACCTCATTTGCCAGTAAAAAATATAATTGTTTTTTTACCCTTCTATCTGGCAACAAAACTGAAACATTACCCAAGAGCCTGCAGCGGTGGGACCCGGAGTGGATGGAGCGCCGAGAGAAGGAGGGAAATGAGATGTCGTGAAGTCCCAGTGTCATCTCTCCGTCTCCCTGTATCTGTCTCTCTACCTGTCTCCGCCTCCCTCTGTCCCTCCCTCTGTCCCTCCCTCTGTCCCTCCCTCTGTCCCTCCCTCTCTCACTCTGTCTTTTTCTCTGTTTCAATTACTTTGCCTCTGTCTTTTTGACTCTCCCTCTGTCTTTATCCCTCTGTCTCTCTTTCTCTGTCTCTCTCTGTTACTCTCTGTTACTCCCTCTATCTCTTCCCCGATATTTATCTCTGTGTCCTTCCCTCTCTCTTTCTCCATCTGTCTTTCTAGATTAGTTAGACTTGGAAGTGGCTGTGTGTGTAGTAGCTATAGAAGAGAGACAGGGAGGTGACTGTGTATGTAGTAACTATAGAAGAGAGACAGGGAGGTGACTGTGTATGTAGTAACTATAGAAGAGAGACAGGGAGGTGACTGTGTATGTAGTAACTATAGAAGAGAGACAGGGAGGTGACTGTGTGTGTAGTAGCTATAGAAGAGAGACAGGGAGGTGACTGTGTGTGTTGTAGCTATATAAGAGAGACAGGGAAGTGACTGTGTGTGTTGTAGCTATAGAAGAGAGACAGGGAGGTGACTGTGTGTGCAGTTCCGTGAGTCTGTGCAGGACCTGTTGCCAGGTCTACCCTACACTGATGATCACTACCTCCTCAAGTGGCTCAGAGGTAAGGACTCACCACCTTCTCACTTACTCACCCCTTTCTCATCTCACAATCTCACCACCTCCTCACCCAACAACTCACCTCCTACTGACCACCTCACTACTACCTCACCTCATTTCCACGTGCACTTCACCACTTCCTCACCTCACCACCACTCACCAGCTCCTCACCGAGTCATCCTCACCACCTCTTTACCTCCTCACCACCACCTCACCACCTGCTCACCAACTCCTCAACGTGTTTATTCTTCTAGCCAGGAATTTCAACTTGAAGAATGCAGAGGCGATGATCCGCAGAGTAAGGAACACCGCTCCTCTTCACAAGCACTCCTCACCAGCACTCCTCAACAGCACTCCTCACCACCACCCACCAACTCATTCCCTCACTCATCCATTCACCCCTCACCATACCTCCTCACCACATTTCTTCACTACTACTCACCATCACTCCTCATCCACCACTCCTCACCACCACTTATCACTATCACTCCTCATACCACTCACCAACGAATTTCCTCACCCATTAACCACCCACTCACTACTCACTCACCATTCACTCACTCACCACTCTTTTGTGATTCCTTGGGTGAGCAAGTAAATTAGTAGGTTAGCGAGTGAGAGAGCGAGTGAGTTAGTAGGTGAGTGAGTGAGTGGTTTAACGAGTAAGTAGGTGAGCGAGTGGATGGGTGAGTGAGCTAGCGAATTAGCCAGTGAATGTATGGGTGAGTGAGCAAGATGAGTGTGTGGGTGAGAGAGCACGTGAGTGGGTGAGTGAGCGAGCGAGTGAGTGGTTGAGCGAGTTAGTGGGAGAGCAAGGGAGTGAGCGAGTGAGTGAATGGGCGAGTGCGCGTGTGAATGTTAGTAGCTATAGTAGCCATAGAAGAGCAAAGAGATGTCCAATCCCCCCCCCCCCCACCAGCACGCAGAGTTCCGGGTGCAGATGGACGTGGATTTTCTCGTCAATAACTGGAAGCCGTCCGAGGTGAGGCTGGCGTTCCCATGCTGAGGCCAAGCATATCCGCGTGATCACCACTGCAACCCAATATGCACGGTGGCTGGGTGGGTGAATGAGTGAGTGGGTGGGTGAGTTAGTAAGTGGTTGGTGAGTGGGTGGGTGGGTGAGAGAGTGGGCGAGTGGGAGAGTGGGTGGGTAAGTCGGTGAGTGAGTGACTGGGTGAGTGAGTGGGTGGGTGAGTGCGTGGCCTCCACCCAATCTCACCCCGATGCCCTAAACTCACCCCCGACCCCCCCTCCAAACTCATCCCGACCCCCCAAACTCACACCGACCTACCAACTTACCCCGGCACCCCAAAACTCATCCCGACCGCCCCAAACTCACCCCAAGCCACCAAACTCACCCCGAGCCAGCAAATTTACCCCGGCCCCACTAGAGTCACCCCAACCCCCAAAACTCACACACATCCCCCCCCCCCAAACTCATCCCGACCTCCCAAACTCACCCCCGAAACCTCAAACTCACCTCAACCCCCCTAAATTCACCCCGACCCCCCCCAATCTCACTGTGACCCCCCAAACTCACCCCACCCCCCGAAACTCACTCAGACCTCCCAAACTCACTTCGACCCCCGCAAATTCACCCCACCCCCCAAAACTCACTCAGACCTCCCAAACTCACCCCCGACCCCCCAAACTCACCCCGGCCCCTCTAAACTCACCCCAACACCCTAAACTCACCCAGACACCCCCAAACTCACCTTGACCACCAAAACTCGCCCCTACTCCACAAACTCACCCCTGAATTTCACAAACTCACCCAGATCCCCCAAACTCATCAACGCCCCCCCAAACTCACCCGACTCCCTTAAACTCACCCTTCCCCGCCCCAAACTCACGCTGAGCCCCCAAACTCACCCCAAACTTACCACGACCCCCCAAACTCACAGAGACCCCTCCCCAAAACTTATCCCGACTCCCCATACTCACCCCCTTAACCACCAAACTCCACCCGACCACCAAAACTCACCCCTTAACCCCCAAACTCACTCAGACCCCCCAAACTCACCCCAACAGCCCTAAGCTAACCCTTGACCCCCCAAACTTACCCCGATCCCACAAACTCACCCCAAACCCGGAAGCTCATTCCGACCCCTGCAAACTTACCCTCGACCCCCTAAACTCACCCCGATGACCCAAACTCACCCAGACCCCCCCCCCAAACTCACCTCGACCGCCAAAACTCAACCTGACCTCCCAAACTCACGCAGACTCCCCAATCTCACCTCGACCCTCCAAACTCACCCCAACACCCCTAAACTAACCCCCGACCTATTAAACTCACCCCGATCCCCGAAAGTCACCCATACCCCCCCCCCAAACTCACCGTGAGCCCCTAAACTCACCCGCGAACCCCCAAACTCACCCCGACCTACCAAACTTACCCCGGCCCTTCTAAACTCACCCCGAACCCCAACACTCATCCACACCCCCCCAAACTCATCCCGGCCCCCCAAACTCACCCTGACCCCCCAAACTCACCCTGCCCCCCCCAAATACACCCCGACCCCCCCCCCCCCCGTCAAACTCAACACTACCCCCCTAAACTCACCTCGACCCCCCAAAACTCACCCCGACCACCCAAACTCATTCAGAGCCCGCAAACTCACCCCGACCCACCTAAACTCACCCCTGACCCTCCAAAATCACCCCGACCCTCCCAAACTCACCTACGCCCCCCTAAACTCACCCGACCCTGCCAAACTCACCCTGACCCCCCAAACTCACCCTGGCCCCCAAAGTGACTCCCAAATATCTCCCCACCCCCCAAACCTGTGACCTGTGTGCAGGTGGTGGAGAAGTACTTCTCTGGGGGGCTGTGTGGCTGGGACCGGGAGGGGTCCCCTCTGTGGTGGGAGGTGGTGGGGGACCTCGACCCCTCCGGTTTAATGAGGTCCGAGCGGCCGGGGGTCTTCCTCCGCAGCAAGGTGCGGGAGCTAGAGCTCATGCTGGCCGAGTGCCAGCGGCAGACTCACCTGGTGAGTAACGCAGCTGCACACTCACGCTTCTCACTCACCTGGTTAATCGCGTAGCGACCCACTCACTCACCCACCCTTCCATTCGAACTAAGTCTCTAACAGGACTTCCCCTACATGCCTGAATGAGCTACCTGGGCGACGTTTACCTGTATCTGTGTGTGAGCGAGTAGCTGGGCAGACAGGTTGGCAGCATGGTGCTCATCGTAGACTTAAACAACCTGAGCCGCAGGCACCTGTGGAGACCGTTCCTGAACAGCAACCTGGAGGTGAGTCTCACCCACTCACCAGAGGTCGCAAACGGGTTTTTATTCCTTACCCGTACCCGGCCGCACCAGGGTCGCAAACGGGTACCCGTACCCGGCCGGGTACAGGTAGCCGGGTATTGGGTAGGGTACGGGTATCGGGTACCCGATTGCGACCTCTGCCACTCACTCACTCACCCACCCACCTACTCACCCACTGAATTAAGTATGCACCCACTCACTCATACACCCACCCACTCAACAACCGCCATTCGCCACTAAGTGGCACTGACATCACTACTGTGCTTGTGCCACGCTAGGTGCACTTTGAGGCCACGTGAAGTGTCGAAGGCTCATTGCTAGCAGGTTACGTGACAGACCCAGGTTCTAGGGGTTGACTGACTGTGATGATTGATAGATACACCAGCTGTGCCCTCTACTGTGCCAACTGTATTTTAGCTGCCCGGCGCTCAGCTCATCGTTGTGAGTGTCGCTCCTCTGCCCTCCCCAGGAGCTTCCTTCACGAGCCTCCTCCATAGAGGCTGATCTTGCCACTGCTGGTGCCGGTCTTCGGCAAGCCCACTCAACTCCACATCCTCCTGTACTGCATCAATCTCTTCGATAGCTCGTGCCGTGCCCATTAAGCCCCCTCTATCCGACCAATCAAAAGCTCAATTTAACACTTAGGCTTTCGCGACCAATATCATCCATAATATAGGTGTTTTTCGAACACTTTCTAAAGAATACCTATTTATTGTGGAAAGGTAATTTATATAAACCAAAGTAAGGAGCAGCAATGGGCTCTCCTTTGTCTCTTCAAGCACACTACAACCCTCTGCTTGGTTTAGATATGTGGATGACACACTGGTGGTGTGGCCACACGGCAAAGATATACTTAATGAATTTCTAAATCATCTCAACTCGCAAAACCCATCCATACACTTCACCATGGAAGTAGAAGTTGACAGAACTCTCCCATTTCTGAATATTCTGCTAGGGCATGGTCGAAATGGTAAAATAACACGTAGCGTTTACCAAAAGAAAACACACTGACGCCTAATTCAGTCACACCATCACCCTACCCAGAAATCCTCACTCATCAAGATGCTCATACTTCGGGCTAAGAAAGAGTTAGATGGTGATAATCTGAGAAGTGAAATTAAACATGTTAAAGTAGTGCTGCAATCAATTGAATGGTTAAAATGATGCACAAATCAACAGGGCACTGAATGTCAAAACCAAATCAAATAACACGAGAGTTGAAACTGACCAAGTAATAAAAATTATTAAAATACCGTAAATGTGGGAATAACTGATAAACAAGCCAGATTTTTTGAAAAACAAAACATTTGTGTCAGATTTGGCATGGTACATAAAATAAAACTAAAATCTGGTACTTCAGATGTATTACCAAAGCTATCAACAGAAGGTGTATACCGGATTTATTGCACTTGTGGCAAATGTTATGTTGAGCAGACAGGACAAATGATCAACACGAAACTAAAAGAACACCAAATAAATATTAAATACTCCCAAACACAACTGTCGGCAGTGGCAGAACACACGTGCCAAAAAGGACACTCAATTGATGTTGATAATGTTGAAGTTCTGTGCAAAACCAGTTACTACTGGCCAAGACCAATTAGAGTAGCTATCGAAATTGAGAGAAATAAAAAAATGTGTAACCCTTCGGATAGCTACAGGCTTAAGTGCTCATTGGAAGCGAATCCTCAAATAATACATTATACTCTTTGGTTCTTTTGGTAAAGTCACGTCGGAATAAAATTCCGTTTCGATTGCAACACAAGTGTAGGACTCGTGACAAGCTTTAACGTACAAATGAACGTCATTCTGTAACCCCGGCCAATAGAAATCATTACTTAAAGTCAAAGCGGTTTTCTTCTCCCCCAAGTGCATCAACCGTGCGTGCATGTCGGAAATGAGTTTCCCTCGTAAACACAGTGGCACCACTATACAACATTTCTGTAAAACGACATCCCATCTGACCAGGAGGTCGTCAATGAGTCGGAGAAAAGGCCGATCATCCGACTGTTTGGAGCGAGAGGCCCGTAGCCTCATCCTGGTAAGCGACGGATCGTCTATTTGCAACCGCACCCAACGCCCCCGTGACAAACCCAACAACCCAGGCTCAGTATCTAGTGTCTCGTCAACCCGGTTTGAATTAGCTGCAGCGGCCATTCTCGGCTCGCTCTGCAGCGGCGGCCCACAATGCGGCGATCCCTCGGAGCACCGACACGAGCCCGATGCCTGAGGCAACCGGGACAGAGCATCCGCGTTAACGTGACGCGTACCCTTCCTGTGCTGGACCGTAAATGAGTATCCCTGCAGGACCTCAAGCCAGCGGGCCATTTGGCCCGAGGGTTGATCGATCCGCAAGGAGTACTGCAATGCCGCGTGGTCGGTGCGGACCAAAAACTGTCGCCCGTACAAGTATGGTCGATACAACTGCACAAAATGAACAATCGCCAATATTCCCTGCGCGTTATGCAATACCTTTGTTCCGCCGGGGACAGTACCCGGCTGCCATACGCGACGACCCTTTCAACACCGTAATTCATTTGCGACAACACAGCTCCGATGCCCGTATCACTGGCATCCGTGTCCAACATAAACATTTCCGCAAAATTTGGATACCCGAGCGGCGGTGCGTCCGCCAACGCGTCCCGGAGTGTTTTAAATGAACGCTGCTCCTCATCACCCCATATAAACGTTTTACCCTTAGCAGTCAGCGTGTGCAGTGGCCTCGCAATCGTAGCAAAATTCTTAACAAATCATCGATAATATGACGCAAACCCCACGAAGCTGCATACTTCCGACACCGTTTTAGGCACTGGCCACGCACGAACACAACTAGTTTTCTCCGGATCCGTTGCGACCCCCGCTTCGCTGACCACATGACCAAGATATTTAATGGAAGTTCGCAACAGATGACACATTTGGGGTTTAAACTTCAAATTGGCGCCCCTTACCCTGCCAAATACAGCTCGCAGCTGCTGCAAATGTCCCTCGAAATCTTTACTGAACACAATGACGTCGTCCAGGTAAATCAAACACGACTCCCACTGCAATCCCGTCAATACCAGCTCCATCAGTCGTTGAAAAGTGGCTGGTGCGGAGTGCAGCCCCATCGGCAATACATTAAAGTGAAACAATCCTTGCGGCGTGCGAAAAGCCGCCTTCGGTTTAGATGCCTCGTCCAAGGGCAATTGCAAAAAGCCCGATAAGAGGTCTAATGTGGAAACAAATGTAGCGCCGGACAATGCGTCCAATGAGTCGTCAATGCGCGGAAGCGGATAAGCATCTGCCACCGAAACTTTATTCAATTTTCGGTAATCTACACAAAATCGCAGAGAGCCGTCCCTTTTTTTTACCAACACGATCGGGGCTCCCCATGGGCTGGACGAAGAGGATACGATGTACTGTTGCAACATCTCGTCAACCGTCCTCCGAATGCAATCCTTCTCCAGCGGGCTCACCCGGTGAGGATTCAATCAAACAGGGGCCGCATCTCTAGTGTCAATGTGATGTCGCAACAAGGTCGTATGACCGACGTCAAACTTCTGAGCTAAACACATCCCTAAATTCCGTCAGCGGCGTCAGCTCTCCCTCCGGTAGACCACCGTCTGATCCAACGCCCACCACCAGGGGCCGAGATGGCCCCGCCGATGGCTCGTCGCGAAGATCCAGGTTGGCCTGGATGTTCCTGGCAAGCTGCAAGGATGACCCGTCGTCGTCGTTGTCGCTGGGAAGTGAGAGGACGACTTGTAGCTCCTTCGCCATCTGCAACAGCTTGGGCCAAAGAATCAAGGGCCGCTTCGTCCATTGCCGGGTAAGCCGTTTGGCCAAGAGTCAACAGCGCACTGCGATACGCGAGGGGAGATTCTCCTTCCGCCCGTCGCCTCAATTGAAACTTCCGCTTGGCGACCGAGAGAGGTTCGTAAATCTTCTGCATCACCGCAAATATCTCTGGCAAGGACAAGCGAACCCCTTGAGGAAGACCGTAGAATGTCGCCAACGCGTCGTCGTCCAAAGCCGTTGGCAGCGCCCGTAGCACTTGAGCCTCCGTCCACCCGAGCGACTCATACGCTGCCCGAAATCGTCGTGTAAACGCCGTCCAGTCGCCGACTGGGACCTCGAAGCGTTCCACGTGCAGCCAACGTGGCGTGCTCGAGGCCAGCGACTCCGGTTCCTCATCCTCGTCCAGCGGCGCATCTGGCACCTCGGGAGATCCAGCCGCGCCGTCAGCCCCCGCAGATGTAACGAGGTCGTGCGGCTGCGGATCCAATCCCGTAGGCGCTTCCCGCATTGACCGCAGAACTCGATCAAATTCTTGCGTGAACACTGCCATCCTGGCCTCCCACGCAGCTCTCCTCCTTGTCGTGCGTGTCGACCTCGTCGTGCGGCGGTGCTTGCTCCGTCACGTCCTCCGGCGAAGTGGGGGCCTCCGCTCCTGATGGAGGTATCACATCCGCATCGCTGCTCTCCGCCGACGAGGCTGCCGGTAAGTTCTTTTTCTTCATGACTTTCTTGGACATCTCGGTGCAGGTCCGTTATCACTTCTGACACCAGTTGTAGGACTCGTACAAGGGTTGTCTTTCTCTCCTCTTTATTTTCCTCTTAGAGTCCACCTTCGCCACGCCACTGCTCCGCGTCTCGGCGCGGCCTCGCTCCGCTCCGCGTCTCTCTGCTGCGCCACCGTTCCGTGTCTCTCCGTGCCCTCACTCTGCTCCGCGTCGCTCCGTGTCTCTCTACCAAACTATCACTACGCTTGTCGTCTCTACGGTTTCTCCTACTCTGCATCCTTCCGATGCATGGATACCCTGGTTGCTCACTGCGTTCTCGCTACCACTGTCTCTCCGTGCTTTACTCTACTAACACTGTCTCCCTACGCTTTACTCTACTATCACTTGCTCTGCGACTCCCCGGGCACCGTTGCTGCAGCTCCATCCACGACGCCGACTCGTACAGGACTCCCTTCTCTCCGTTGCGCACTGGCTTATATCCCCACAGCAATTAATCTCCCTAATTATCTCTACCCCCCCGCTTATCGCTCGCCCCCTGGCTCCCCGTGTCACGTGGCCTTGTTTTCACCGCCGGAGCGACGCTAGCTAATGCCCAATTACCTTTCCAGCCAATCACTGGCCTGTGTCCTCCCGGCTACCCTGACACCTGTTTCAACCCTTAACGACCCACTTCGCCTAAAGCCACAACAACAACCATTACCTCACATCACCCCACTGTACTGTGCTTGCTTGCATAGCAACAGAGGCGGGGGATGTGTGGCGCGCTATACTCAAGCCCTACACAAGCAACCATCATCAGGCAGAACTACATTTGAGAGAGAGACAAAACACAGACACGGACACATACAGACAGACATACAAGCAGAGAGAGACAACACAGACACACAGAGAAAGACACACAACATAGAAACACAAAGGCCCAATGCCTCTGTGTCGAGGCCATAAATAGAGAGGGGGGGCAGAGAGAGAGAGGTGGGTCTGCTGGGGCAGCTGCTGGAGCAGAGAAATTAGCATGTCAATGAATCCACCCTGAAGCCACCGAGGGAAAGAAGATCGAATGGCTCTATGAGAGCCTGTTAAATTTTAGAGAGAGAAATAGT